ACTCACCCACACACCAGCACTCACTCACCCACACACCAGCACTCACTCACCCACACACCAGCACTCACTCACCCACACACCAGCACTCACTCACCCACACACCAGCACTCACTCACCCACACACCAGCACTCACTCACCCACACACCAGCACTCACTCACCCACACACCAGCACTCACTCACCCACACACCAGCACTCACTCACCCACACACCAGCACTCACTCACCCACACACCAGCACTCACTCACCCACACACCAGCACTCACTCACCCACACACCAGCACTCACTCACCCACACACCAGCACTCACTCACCCACACACCAGCACTCACTCACCCACACACCAGCACTCACTCACCCACACACCAGCACTCACTCACCCACACACCAGCACTCACTCACCCACACACCAGCACTCACTCACCCACACACCAGCACTCACTCACCCACACACCAGCACTCACTCACCCACACACCAGCACTCACTCACCCACACACCAGCACTCACTCACCCACACACCAGCACTCACTCACCCACACACCAGCACTCACTCACCCACACACCAGCACTCACTCACCCACACACCAGCACTCACTCACCCACACACCAGCACTCACTCACCCACACACCAGCACTCACTCACCCACACACCAGCACTCACTCACCCACACACCAGCACTCACTCACCCACACACCAGCACTCACTCACCCACACACCAGCACTCACTCACCCACACACCAGCACTCACTCACCCACACACCAGCACTCACTCACCCACACACCAGCACTCACTCACCCACACACCAGCACTCACTCACCCACACACCAGCACTCACTCACCCACACACCAGCACTCACTCACCCACACACCAGCACTCACTCACCCACACACCAGCACTCACTCACCCACACACCAGCACTCACTCACCCACACACCAGCACTCACTCACCCACACACCAGCACTCACTCACCCACACACCAGCACTCACTCACCCACACACCAGCACTCACTCACCCACACACCAGCACTCACTCACCCACACACCAGCACTCACTCACCCACACACCAGCACTCACTCACCCACACACCAGCACTCACTCACCCACACACCAGCACTCACTCACCCACACACCAGCACTCACTCACCCACACACCAGCACTCACTCACCCACACACCAGCACTCACTCACCCACACACCAGCACTCACTCACCCACACACCAGCACTCACTCACCCACACACCAGCACTCACTCACCCACAACACATGTCTTGTGGTCGTCGTCGAATACCAAACCGTCCTTGCACACGCACAGGGGTATGTTATTGTCTACATCAACAGTGCAGGTGCCTTCCCCGCAATCCTCGTTCGCACACAGGTCTGCACAGAAATCGTGATTGTATAAAGTAAGGGCAGAGAGGTATACAGACGAGCACACAGGGAAAGGGAAAGGGGATCAAAACGAGACAGATTCTGCTATAATTGTGAGTCGCTCAGCCGCACTCCAGCACTCATCCACTTGCCATCACTACAAGCCTGCTACCCGAGGTGTGTTTCAGTCATACTACTCACCAACAGCGGCGCTGGCGTGGGTCGCGAGGAAGCTGATGGCAACGACACCCGCGACGAGTGCGGCGAGGCCACACAGGCCGGACAGGCGCGCGCAGGGCTTCATGGCGACGGGAGTCGGCGCGACACAGGCGCACACAGGAAAACGGGAAGAACTTGGAGTTTTTGAGGTGCCTCAAAAGGCGGCCCGAGGAAACGGGAAGAGTGGGATCACGAAGACGTCGCGATGGCGTCACGCTTCAGGCCCGTGTTGAACCGCCGGGATGGAACTGACGACTCTGGTAGCCTCGGGTCGCGACGATGCGAGATTGGGTGAGACCTTGAAAGGTGCGACTGAGAAGGGAGGAGACGAAGGCGTGCAATGAGCGAGGAGCGGCGGGAGAATGTGAGTGAGCCCTACGGAGAGAGCGTCGAATTTATGTTGAGAGCGAGTGGTCAATCGCACATCTCGAATTTGACTCGTGGAAGCGAAGTGGGGTGAGGGGGAGGAGAGGGGGGGATCCGCGCTGTGCCGAGGCCCGGAAACGCGCATTCGCTCGACCTTAGGACTAGGCGATGATGGCGTTGGGGCAGCGAGAAGGTCGATCGGGGGTGTGGCGACTCTCGTCATGGTGGGCACACGGGGGAGGAGCACGAATGGATGGACGAGGTGACAGCGATGACGGGAGGTATGGAAAGGCGTCAGCTAGCGGCTAGTGAACGCGTTTAGCTGGCCAATCCCTATGGACACAGGCGGGAATCAAGCTCCGTGGTGGGGCGCAAGGCACGGAAGTTGCGAGAACTGCGGGACTTGCGGAGGGTGATTGCTTGTCAGGGAAAGGTCCGAGGGGGGTCATTCAAAACGAAGTTTGCTTGACGTGGTTGAAAACGGTCATTTACGTTTGGGCGTGGTATTCAACATTTACCGATTTAGACCATTGAGCACCGAGATGAACCATTCAAAACAGGGTTGGAACGCGTTTCGTTAGGTCTGCCTCACATATTTATCCTTTATACATTATTGACCACATTCAACCACGTTAAGACAACCCCGAACAAACAACACATCCCCTTCAGAGTTTTCGTAGGGTAGTGTGACTGTTCAGGCTGGTATCTAGCGGCTCAGAGCGGTGAAGCAAGCCAAGCGCTGTAGAATGCACACCATCATAGCGAACGGCCTGGGAACGCGTTCGATCAACAAATAAATCTCTCTCCGCAAGTCCCGCAATCTTGCAACCCTGGTGTACCGGAGCGCGCTAGTGGTACTAGAGGCAGAAGCTTCTTTCCCTTGCGCCCCGAAAGATTTCTCCGCTTCCATTGGGATTGGCTGCCTAAACGCGTTCACTAACAGCTAGCTGGCGCTTTCCGACGATTTTCTCCCGTCATCGCCGTCCCCTCGTCCCATCCATTCGCGTTCCTCCCCCTTATGAGGCAATTGCCCTATCATGACGACAGTCGCCACATCCCTCATCGACTCCTTCACACTGCCCCAACACCATCGCCTAGTAGTTCTAAGGTTTCCTCCCATTCACAGGGTCTCGGCAGCGCCCATCCCCCTGAGTTCCTCCCCTCCCCTCTCCCTCCCCACTCCCTTCCTCCTTCCGCGGCGAAACGTTCTACAGGATCCGCGAATCGAATACTAGGAATAATAAGTCCGAATGTGCGACTCACCACTCGCTCTCAACACAATAATCGACGCCCTCCCCGAGGGCTCAATCACATTCCCCACCGCTCCTCGCTCAGCGCGCCATCGTCTCCTCCCTTCTCAGTCGCACTTTCTAGGTCCCACCCAAACTCACCTCGTCGCGGCTACCAGCGGCGTGAGTCCCATCTTGGCGGTTCAGCTCTGATCGGAAGCTTCTCGCCTTTCCGCCGTCATCACGATCCGCGCCTCCCCGCCTTCCCGTTTCCCCGCGCCGACTCCCGTCGCCATGAAGCCCTGCGCGCGCCTGTCCGGCCTGTGTGGCCTCGCCGCACTCGTCGCGTTTTTCCATCAGCTTCCTCGCGACCCTCGCCGGCGCCGTACCTTTTGATGGTGAGTCGGCTGACTGCCCCACACCACTGGCAGCAGGCTTGTGGTCTTGGCGTGTGTATGAGTGCTGGAGTGGCGGTTGAGCGACGCACAATCAAAGCAGAATTTGCCTCGTTTGAACCCCCTTTCCCTACCTTGTCTCTGTGCTGGTGTGTGTGTGCCTCTCTGCCCCTACTTGAATCAATCACGATTTCTGTGCAGACCCGTTGTGTGCTCAAGTAAACTGTGGGGAAGCCGCCTGCGTTGGTGATACAGACTTGCCGGGGCCCCTGTGCGTGTGCAAGGACGGTCTTCATTGGGCACAGGACAAGACGTGTGTGGCGGGTGAGTGCTGGTGTGCGTGTCTCGTTTCCATCACCTTCCTCGCGACCCACGCCGGCGTTGCTGGTGGTGAGTAGGCTGACAGCCGCACATCACTGGGAGTAGACTTGTGGTGCTGGCGTGTGGTTGAGTGCTGGAATATGGGGGAGTGCACAATCATAGCAGAATATATATTGTTTTAACTTCCCTTCCGTACTTTGCGTCTGTGCTGGTGTGTGTGCCTCTTTGCCCATACTTGCAACGATCCGGTTCCTGTGCAGATCTGTGTACCAAATTTGACTGTGGCGAAGCTACCTGCACTAAAGATCCGTACGTTGACTTTGCCACCTGCGAGTGCAAGCAAGGTTTTGAATTTGACGATGACAGCAAGACGTGTGTGGGTGAGTGCACGCGTGTGGGTGAGTTCAAAGTTCACAATCATCAGCAACACTTCCGCTTTCGCTTCACCTAAGAACCACCCATCACTTCCTCTGCAGACATGTGTGCCGGCGTGGAGTGTGGCTCAGAGGCGTCCTGCGATGCTGACAGTGGTGCCCATTGTGTTTGCAACAAGAAAGGTTACTGGCTCCAATTGGAAGACATGACGTGCTTTGGTGAGTGCATCACTGGTGACCTGTAGACACTACATTTCTAGAAACCCTCGCGTTTTAGCACATCGGCATCCCAGCATCTCAGCATGTCAACAGACGCTGAGAGGCAACGCTTTCACCCCTCCTCACTCCTCCCGCACCTTCCGCCCTGTCTGCCCCTTTCTCGATCAATCATCCATCGTCGCACCAACCATCGCATCAACGGTCTCATCTCAACGATGTCAGCCCCCGTGGTGAGGACGTCGGTGGTATTCCAACAAGGCGGGTTAGCAGGGCCGCGGTGGTTCTTTTTACCGCAGCGTCCAGAGCAGTCCATTGGCGCCATCGCATGCGGCTCGCGCTTTTTCCTCAAAGGCGATGCCAGGATCACGGTCGTGTGGAACGCGTCCAAGCCCGTCTCGTATCAAGACTACGTGCCTGGCAACGCCATGTGCAAAAGGTTGCTCTTCTACTCTGACGAGGAATGCAAGGAGAAGGTGGACTTCACAATCGCACGTCCCGTGAAGAAGGGCAGTTCCTACCCCGTCACGAGAAGGTGAGTGCGCGTGATGCACACGCACATTTCGGCGAATCACGGCTTCCAGCACGTAATACGACTCTCGTTTATCACCCAAATCTGCTTTACTGTTGTAGTTCTAGCATGAATGGTCCGAATGTCGTAACTCGCCTTAACCTTTGGTCTTCCCTATCCTTACCTCTCCCTCTCTCAGGGCTGTCAATGGAATTGCTAAACCCTGGCAATCAGTTGGATGCGAGATCAGTGAGTGCAAGCGCATGCACGGCACGCAGTACGCATGCACGCAGTACTAACGTTTCGAAGCACTCTAACTTGTTCTTTGCTTATTCTGACAAGATTGATGACACGGAAGAGATGACTTCTGAGTTGACTTAAAAGGCACAAGAGAGATACTAAGAGAGAGCAAGGCACTCAGCCAACTTGTTATTTCGTTTTTTTTAAATTATTATTATTGTTTTTTTTTTCAACGTCCCTATGCCCTAAAAGCCGTCCCCTTTCTCTGCATGCCTGGATTGGTTGATCCTGTGTGGTGCCCACAACAGCCATGTGTGAGAATGATTGCGGAACTGCTGCGTGCGTTGTGAAGGAGGGCCAGTGGCAGTGCCAGTGTCCCGAGGGCCTCGTGTTCAACGAGGCTAAGAAGCTCTGCCTCGACCCGTCTCTCCCTCGTCGTAGGTGCCTTGTTGTTTGTTGCATATTTGCCACCGTGGTAAACAAAGAGGAGTGGACTATGCCCTGGCAGACTCTACCATATTTCTGTATCATCTCACGCCTTACCCTGTGCCTGCCCTCCATTTTCCCCCTCCCGTTGCCCCCTCCCATGAAGGGGCTGGTGGGCAAGCGAAGAAAGGCCGACCCTAGCTGGATGGGTAGGTAGCAAGGAGGCGCAAGATGGCAGAGCCAGAGGGGCAATGGTCATTTAGTGGCGCAAGCTGGCAGGGGCTGGTGGTGCAGAGTTGTGAGACGAACCAATTGGGTTGTCAGTTCGCTGTCATTCAGTGTGTGGTGAATACGAGTGTGTATGCTTGCTTGCTGGTATGTTGTACCATGGTGGCTACTTTCAGTTTCAGGCAGATGGTTACGGTAGATTTGCAAAACTATTGAGGATCAGAAAGATGTCTTTCTTAGCTCTTCTGTTCGCCTTTTTGCACTGCATTCCATGTACGGAACTTGCTAATGCGAGAAGGACCATCCTCTCTAAGTCTAAGAATTGCCGAAGATTGGTCGCACCCGTATTTGACTGATTGAATGTACCAGTAATATGGTTACGTGCAATGCGAGTGTGTTCTGAGCTGTAAAAAAGAGTGCGCAGGTAAACGAATACGGTAACGAGACTGTGATTGCAAGAACTGAGAATACAATGAAGGCACAGACTAATGTAGGAGCTAGCCTAGCTAGGAGGGAACCTCGGACGAGCGAGGTTGGGTGCAGGTTTGGCGATGGGAAATGCCGAAGGCGACGCGAGGAGCCTCGGCAGCGTTGAAATCGGCCGAACATGCTAAGTCCAAAATTCGGGGCTGTACGCGAAGCAGTCAACCCCGATAAGGAATTCGGAAAAAAATCCTTACATTACCCCCCCCCCCTTAAGAAAGGCGGTCAATATCCGAGACATGCCGGCGTGCCAAATAATCACAAACAAGTGGCGAGGCGTCCAGCGAGTCGGAGCGCACCCAAAAGTCGTCTTCACTGGTGCGAGCAGTCCAACGGTTGAGGAAATCCACGTGGCGACCAGCTGCGTCTAGTCGAAACCGATGTGCCAGAACCTTCGAAGGGTCAAGGGTCGGCTCCGAGACAGGTCCGACAGTTGAGGCAGCTTGTTGCCGCGCGATGTCGGTCGTGTCAAACATATATGCTGCATATTGTCTAGGCTGTAGTGGGGTAGCCCATATGGGGTACAGCCCAATTAGGGTTTACTACTTGTACTCCTGCATGCTGCTAGTTCATCCATTCCTGCTGCTAGATTCTGACATGGTATCAGAGCACTAAGGTCCGTAGGACCGTTTTTTTTTTTTCGGGCCCACCTACCGCTGCGGTTACCGCGCTACCCCACGTACCTGCCTGCCTTGCCTTGCCTTGTGACGTGCTGCACTATGTGCGCCGTCCAGCAGCCCTAGCGCTGCCTCCTGCTGCCCTAGGCCAGCGCGCTGCCCCTAGAGGCCCGTAAGGCCCACGCGCCGCCCCTAGAGGCCCGTAAGGCCCGCGCAGCCCGCTGCAGCCGCGCGCAGCCCGCACAGAGCCCGCGCCGAGCCGCGCGCAGCCCGCGCCGAGCCCGCGCAGCCCGCTGGCACGAACTTCCGAAGCAGGCTGACGTGGAAGGCGTCATGAATTCGCCAGTCGTCGGGTACCAATAGCTTCGCGGTGACAGGTGTCACCATTTTGATGTGTCAGAATCCCAGCCACTAACCACTGGGATAAAAGGGCTTGTTTGTGTAGCGGGTGAGTGCGCCCATAACCCCCCAGGCCAACGTGCCTGTAACCCTTCCCTAGGATCAATCGGGGATCACCAGTGGACCTCTGACACCCCCCCGCACTGGGATGCCCGAGGTGCACACACCGGGATTCGAACCCGAGACCTTCGCTCTGATACCATGTCAGAATCCCAGCCACTAACCACTGGGATAAAAGGGCTTGTTTGTGTAGCGGGTGAGTGCGCCCATAACCCCCCAGGCCAACGTGCCTGTAACCCTTCCCTAGGATCAATCGGGGATCACCAGTGGACCTCTGACATGATGATCTTGAATGGCCCACAAAATCGTGGCCGTAGTTTCGACGGGCCGGGCAAGTGAAGGTTTTTCGTGTCATGTAGCACTAGTTGCCCAGCGGTCAAGACGAGTTCTCGTTGTAGGAGGTCGGGAAGTGATATTCGCCTTGCGAATTGCGTCTGCGGCTTTTTCTCGGACTTCCTGAAGCTCCGTCACAAAAGTTTGTGACCTCGGGACCGGGTTGTCGAGAGTAGTCCCTATAGGGACCGTCGGATCCATCTCGTAATTCAGGAGAAACGGTGAGTGATTAGTCGTGCTGGACGGGGCGTTGTTGAAGGCGAACTCCAACATGGCGAGCGATTCTTCCCAGCGGGCAGGGTCGGGGCAGTTCGTCCGTATCAGGTGCTCCATGGTCTGGTTGGTTCGCTCGGTCTGGCCGTCCGTCTGTGGGTGGTATGCCGATGAGAACTGTAGCTTCGTGCCGTACTGCGCCCATGTCTCCTTCCAAAATTTCGATGTGAACTTCAGGTCATGGTCGCTATTGATCGCCGAAGGGATGCCGTGCAGTCGCACGACCGTTGAGATGAAGAGGCGCGCAGTTTCTTCGGCTGTGATTGTCGTTCGGCATGGGGCGAAATGTGCCATCTTCGTGAGGCGATCGACGACGGCGGTCGTTGCCGGACGGCCCAGCCGGGATTCCCGTGACAAAATCCATTGTCACTTGCTGCCACGGTCGTTCGGGTGGCTCGAGGGGTTGCAGCAGCCCAGCTGGTCGTTGACGTGTCGATTTCATGGCTTGGCACACCCTACACGAGGACACATACTGCTGCACATCGTTAGAGGACCCAGGCCAGTAATATTGACGGTGCAGTAATTTCTGGGTTTTATCAACCCCAAAGTGTCTGGAGAAATTTCAATCGTGGACCTCCTGGATAAGGAGTTCACGCAGCAGCCGGTAAGCGGGAACCCAAATCCGGTCGGTTCCGGCTTTTAGGTAATAATCCCCTTTCTGCGTCGTGGCCTGCTGATGATTTACAGTCGCGAAGAATAGGTCCGTAGTGTAGCCGTGGGTGAATAGTCCGGTAAGTAATGGGTTCGAATGGGTGATGAGTACTGCAGCGGATTGTACTGTCGGTCGGGTCAGGGCATCGGCGATGTTATTCGCCCCCTTCTTGTACGTGATGCGGTAGGTGAAGTGGCTCTCCATGTAGTCCAGCCACCGAATCTGTCGTGGGTTGAGGTTGGGCTGAGCTCGCAGGTACTGTAGGGACTTCTGATCCGTGCGTACAGTGACGTCGGCGCCCACCAGGTAGCATCGCCATAGTTTAAACGCGTGGATGATTGCGAGCATCTCCTTGTCGTGGATCGGGTAGTTGCGCTCGGCTGTCTGCAGCTTGCGTGGCTCGTAGGCTGTCGGCTGCAGCTCGTTCCCGATGGAGTAGAACAGCTTCGATGGCGAAATCTGAGGCGTCGGTTACTACTTCGAATGGCTTCGATGGGTCGGCGATGCGCAGCACAGGAGGGGAAACGAGAAAATTATTGAGTTCCTGGAAAGCCGCCTCTGCCTCCTCCCCCCACACGAAATTCTTGTCCTTGTGCAGCAGGTCGGTCAGTGGTCCGGTTATCCCCGCCATACTCGGGATAAACCGCCGGACGTAATTCACGAACCCCAGAAAAGGCTGAAGTTCCGTGACATTAGTCGGGGACTTCCACTCCTGTATGGTCTTGATTTTCGCCGGGTCGATTTTGATGCCGTCGTGGGAAATGACGTGGCCCAAAAACTCCAACTCCTGCTTAAAAAACTCGCACTTAGAGCCCTTGGTGATGAGGCGGTTCTCCTGCAACCGCTTAAACACTTCGTCGAGGTTGCGGAGATGCTGTTCCCATGTCTTGCTAAAAATGGGGATATCGTCCAAATAGACGATGACACATCGGTCTAGAAGATCCCGAAAAACCCTGTTCATGGTGAGTTGAAATGTCTAAGGCGCGTTCGTGAGGCCGAAAGGCATCACCGTAAATTCGTAACTCCCATAAAGTGTGCGAAACGCAGTCTTGTGACAATCGTCGGCGAAGACTCGAATCTGGTGGTAACCGCCACGTAAGTCGACCAATCTTCGAGAAATAGCGAGCGTCGCGAAGTTGGTCGAGGTGGTCGTCGGTGCGTGGGATTGGGTAGCGAGACTTGATGGTCACCCGGTTCAACGCGCGATAGTCGATGCACATGCGAAGCCCGCCGTCCTTCTTCGGAGTGAACAGGATCGGTGCTACGAAGGGTGAGGTGCTCGGCCGAATGAACCCTTTCTCC